GAAAGCCAGACAAAGGAGGATTTAAGTATGATACTACGACCATGAATCTCAACCGAATACTTTTTGGTGGGCAGAATTTTTCCTCGTTCTAAGAAGAAAATTTTTGGGGGACAGATTTTTCTTCTCAGGAGCTCTCAGTGTAACTCTTGGTATGTATGCAAGTACAGTCACTCTTGTACTTCAGAGCAGGATGAGAGAGGTGAGAGCTTCCAAAACTGAAGGGGGCCTGAGTGAGTTGTATTTGATCTGTAGGGCTCATTTCCTGCTTCATTGCCCGTGCTACTCCCTCTCTACACACAACGTCTGAGGCAGGAGGATGGATTGTGTACTGGCTGCTTACACTGTTACAAGTACCTTTTCCTTGAGCAGAGGTGATACCTGGCCACTAGAGTGTTTGTTTCCCTGATACGGGGTTTTATAACCCTGTTAGTGCTGGTGGAGTTGGTCTGTTTGAAGAGACCGTAAGGCTGGCAAGAGCTACTAATCTTCAAAAGCAGCGAAATCAAGATGATAGATCTTTAATTACAATGTAATACTAACTAGCATTACTTTTCTAAAAACCCTTCTGGAAAGAGGAGGTAGGCACTGCAGTCCTGCCAATACGAGAAGCAGTACCCCAGGGAAATGGATGTAGAGATTCATTTGCATATGAATGCAGTGTTGTTTTTTTAAACAAAATTCCTAGATTCCAGAATTGGCTAGCTTTCATTATTTTGCTATTCTGATAATACTAACGCTTTGCTTATTGATATCTGGCTTCTTCACTGTATATTAATTTTAAACTTAAAATGACTATCATTTGCCTAGAGACCAGCTATTCTTTCTGTGGTGACCTCCCCAAATACTGCAGATTTTCTGTAATAGTGCTCCCCCTCAAGAAAAAAAAACACAAACCAACAACCCACATCCTATGTGTATAAGCTTAGATTTAAAGAAAAAAAAAACTATGAAGAGAGATTGCTTATGCTATTTCCTTAAATACTTATAAATTCTAAGTGGAGTCTTAACATTCACTTTTGAACCAGTAAAATCGATCTGAGTGTTTTCTTCAGAAGTACGAAACTACTCAAGCAGTAGTACAAAACTATTCAAGCACAGTATGAAACCAATGCAGAGTGAAATGCCCGGTGGTTCCTGCTGTTGAAGTAAATGCTACAATAGGAAGCATTCCATTAAATTATCTCAAGCTTCATGAAAGCAATTTAATTTTTCTTATGGCAGTGGGGCTGTCTAGTAACTTATGGTGTGGCCTGACCTTGAATACTGTGTGCAGCTCTGGGCTGCACAGTTTAAGGATGTGAAGGTCCTTGAGTGTGTCCAGAGGAGGGCAACAAAGCTGGTGAAAGGGCTGGAAGGAACATCCTGTGAGGAGCAGCTGAGGACTTTGGGTTTGTCTAGTTTGCAGAAAAGGAGGCTGAGGGGTGACCTCAGCGACTCTTTGCTCTCTACAGCTTTCTGAGGAGGGGAAGTGGAGATGCAGATGCTGAGCTTTTCCTGGTGTCCAGTAATAGGACATGGGAATGTTTCAAAGCTGTGCCAGGGAAGGTTTAGACTGGATATTATGAAGCATTTCTTTACCAAGAGGGTGGTGAAACACTGGCACAGGCTTCCTAGAGAGATCGATGCCCCAAGCCTGTCAGTGTTTGAGGCGTTTGGACAGTGCTCTTAATATTATTAACTTAACTTGGTCAGCCCTGAATTGGTCAGGCACTTGGACTAGATGATCGTTGTGGGTCCCTTCCAACTGAAATAGTCTAGTCTATTCTGTTATGAGGAAGCTGGACCAGTTTGCAGGCAGAGCATATGAAAATGTAATTTAATGCAAACAGAAACCCTTAGATTTTAGGTATTTTTAGAAAAAAAAAGTTAAAGCCAGATTCAGAATATAGAAGGGCCTTGAGCATGGCAGTCAGTTCGTTTTTCTTCCTTGGTAGCTCTACTGAAGACAGGTTTTCTGTCTTTTGTGCTTGAGCACCCTTACCATTTAAGACAGTTGAAATTAATTTGTTTCGGCTGTGAAAGACTTGCCAAATCAATCTATCCTAACAGCATGTGTTTGCCAGCACATCTGCCTGGCTCAACACTTGAAGCAAGAGGCTAGCAATAATAATAGTAATAGGATTGACAAGAAAGGAGGATATCAAGAATGTCCTGAATGTGGGCTCTGACCTCCCTGACTGATGGAGTTGGACCATGGAGAGTGCAGGCTTCTGTCCTTTGGGCAAGTAGCCCTCTGTTCTGCAACTCAAGTTATCCTTTGATCTCAGTAGTTGAGCTGCCATCTGCCATAGCTGGTTCTTAGGCTGAGGTGGCTAAGGCCAGACAAGACTTAATCTACACAAGACTGTTTTCTTCCTGCCTGAGCCTAGAAACCTTTTCAACATATACTGTTGGACCCTTAGGAGGAGAAATTAATTAATCTGTTCTTTAGAGGATTATGATACCTGAAAGCAAAATGAAGGATGGCAGCAGTAAAACAGGAAGAATGGAAAACATGCATCTCCAGAGAAGTGAATGATAGAGGGCTAGTAGTTATTTCTGGAAGATTATTATCTGCAGTTGCCTTGCAGTATATCAACTAAGTAAATAAATGCAACAGCCACATCCTGCAGATAGTGGACTGAAGATGAAATCTGCAAGAATCCATCAGTATTATTGTCTAAGGTCCTTACCTTTGTTTCAGTTCCATTCAGTAGCTATTGTATCTTCACTTTTCAGTTTCTGTCCCACTTTCCTGTCACTTGCAACCTCGCTATTTCCCTGTCTTTCTATTTCTGAGCCAAGTTTAATTCAAATTCTGAACTAAAAACAAATGGTAACTCTGATATTAATCTCATTTGCCTCATGACTAGATCTGTCTCAAGAGTTAGAAATTATATAATATAGTATTATATTTGAAACAGAAAAATCAAAGCTAAAGCTGCTCAAGCTTTCTTAACTAAGCTACTAAATGAAACATGATCATAAAATCCTTTATGCACTTTCCATGTGTCTTGGTAAATGTTTGGAGCAGGAGTGTGCTTGCTGTCTCTGGGGCTTTCACTAATCACCATTGCATGTAGCTCTGCTTTAGCACTAGTCTAGTTTTATCTGTGAATTATGATGTACAAGTGAGAATCCAACCTGCATGGAGGCAGAATATAGGGTTTGTTTTGTAGTGGTGAAGGTTTTCACTGTCTCAAGATGCACACACACAATGACAATACTCCTTAAAAGAGACTCTAGGGTGATATTAAGATCACTTGATAAAAACAGTAAGAAATAGGTTTTTATGATAATTGGGAAGTAATAGATAACGTGTCATATGATCCTAGGGTAGGTTGAGAAGCAAATGTAGAACTACAGAATTTTTGGGAGAAAGT